AATTTAAAAATATTTTTACAAGATACAGAGTGTGCCAAATATGTAAAAAATATTATGGTTGTATTTTTAAATGGAACACCCTATATATTATACAATTTTTAGATTCTACGAATGAAATAAAAGGTAAATTTGATTAAGGTTTATCACACTTAAACCTTACCGTTTTTGGAATATTTTCAATTTTATTGAAATTGCAGTAAAAATTTAAGGCTTCATTTCTCAAGGGTATCAACACGTTTTAATACTACATATTTACTGAAGATTACTTATTGATCGAATAATATTGTGTTGCGATAATAAAAATTATACTTTTTCTTTACAGAGTGTCCAAATATTTATGTTAAATAATGCCCACTAACTTTAAACGGCTGTAACTTGTTTGAGCAAATGGAACACCCTGTATTATAATTCATAAAAAAAACAAAATTTAATTGTCTATCAAATTATATTATACCATTTTTACTTATCTCTTCAAGTTTTCGTGAAAATGCCTTTTCTTATAATTTAGACCTCATTTATCACTATGCCATGAATATTGACATTTTAGATTATTTTAAAAGATGTAACAAATTTTCAAGAGTACAGATACTAATATTGTCGATATAGTTCGATTATTTCATTAAATAAAAAATGTTTAAATATTATTTGTTAAAAAGGACCAATTAATATGATCGTAGTATTCAGACTACATTAATTGACTGTTTACGTTGATTAATCAATACTAAAACTAAAAATACTATAAAAAAAAAAAAAACTGAATTTTGCATGTGCATTAGACAGTATAAATTTTATTTTAATTTTTGACGAATGCTTATTTTGATAACAAGACGTTCATTTTTCGTAACTTATTATTATATTGATTTCTGAGTCAAATCCACATTTTTTTTTTTTAATAATTTATTAATTAAAATAGTATGTAATTAACTAATTTTTGGGAAATTATTTATGGGTATACTCTTTACAAAAGATTTAAATAGTTTTCTGTTTGTAACAAATGAACTTACAATATTATTATTTTTTGAATAGTATTTTGTACATATGTTACTAAAGCTAAAATGTCAATATTCCATGGGTATAGTAAATAGGGTCTATTATAAAAAATGCATTTTCTTCGAAAACTTGAAGAGATAGGTAAAAAAATGGTATAGTACAATTGATAGACAGTCGCTGTGCATCTGAATCACGTAAATATACAGGGTGTTCTATTTAAAACAAACAGATGTCATTTAAAAACTGGTAATGACCCCAACATAAGGCACGGACATATAAAGAAACAGGCACATTACGGCACAACTCTCTTCGGTAAATATGATGATAGCTCGACTACCGGAGAAAACATAAGCCAGTGCTATTTCTGAAACAAAGAGATTCAAAGATTAATGGAATGCTACTGCTACTAATCGTAGAAGATCTAAAAATAGAAATAACTGCAAATTTATCCCATTTAAAAAATAGAACTATAATGTTTTTTACTGACTGAGACACTCTGGCATATCTTTAAAGTATTTTTTAAATTGTGGCAGCTCTAACTACAACGAGCCCAAAAGCAATTGTAAAAATCCCAGCTACCGTGATAAAAAATGTACAACCCTGTATATACGTCGCCATCTTGAGTTCTTGGAAAAATAATATTTGGGACCAAATTAAATACTTAATAGGTATTCTCTTACAAAAAGAATAATAAAAAATGTCCAAATCAGACTAATAGTTCTAAAACAAAAGCAAATGTCCATATTTCCATATACCTACTTCGATCCACTGTGCGGCGCGGCGTGAATTAGCAGTGTGTGTCACATCTTACACTTTTACTATGGGATATCAGTACATCAGATGGTTTCCAGATGGTCACCCCTCCATCTTCTCGACTGGTCTAACGTCGCTTAACTTTGTCGAAAACATGAAAATAGCCCTCTATCAATATCTAATAATAAAAATTTCATCTGGCCCGTGAGAGGGTTCCGATGTAAATGCGTTTTGTTTACCATTTTCAAAATGGAGGCCGGTGTTTCTCCTAAGCGCCCATATCAATTTGAGCGCGTGAAATATTTATTGTTTTCGGTGAAAACGCGGCCCGTTTTCGCCGCGCGCCCTATATGCAAATGGCTGGGATTCGATCTGAATACGAATAAGAGACGGGATAATTGGCAGGGTAAGCAAGGGATTTTATATTTTTATCGCTTTTTTTGGCGATTTATACAAATAAATAATGCAATAACACTTTTTTTGGGTGTTATACCGGGTGTTTTTCAAAATTGACTTACCCCTATAATGTTTCTATTTTTTCAGATAAAAAAACGAGATATGGCACGAAAAACGGGCACCTTAAAATTTTTAAGTATTTTAAAGTTTATTATATTTTGTTCTAGTGGGCAGATTTTGATGTTTTTTAAGAAATTTATAGCTAAATTATTTGACTTTTTAGTGTCTCCTTCCAAATTAAAATTCAAAGTTTCCATCTGTCAATTATACGGGGTGAAACAAAATGTAGATATTTTGGTGAAAGTTTGAAACACCCTGTGGAATATGTTAACAAAGTAAGGAATTTAAAAATCTAGGTACAATTTTTCTCGATAGTTTGTTTTTTGATTCATCTCAATAGCTTTATTTTTATTGGAGATAATCGCTTTTGAATAAGACAGTAACGATTTCAGCAATTTTAGCATTGATTTTGGTTTCTCATCAACACAAACACACTTATAAAATAGTGCTTATTGTTTTTGTAATATCACTGTCATTGAAAAGTTATATTATTATATATTGTTTAAGTAAACGTTAATACTTTAGTAATACTTTAGTAGAGATGGTTTTAAGTTCTGAAATATCGGCTATTGTTGCTTTAATTGATCATGGTATAGGGATTAACTTTTGGACTTAAAACTATATCTGCTAGAGTAACTGTCTAAAAGACAAAAATAATATGATTTTTTTCTCAAAGATAGTGACATTACATAAATCATAAACACTATTTTATAGGTTTGTTGACTAGGTCCAAAATCAAAGGCATGGTTTTAAAGTTACTGTTTTCTTCAAAAAACGAATATCTTTCCAAAAAAACTAAAGCTATTGAGATGAATCAAAAAACAAACTATCGAGAAAAGATCCAACGGGATGATAAAATAATTTTTAAATTCTTTGCTTTGTTAACGTACTTCACAGGGTGTTTCAAACTTTCACCAAAATATCAACATTTTGTTTTCTTAATTAACAGATGAATTTACAGAAGGCAACTTTCATTTTTAATTTAAAAAGCGATACTAAAAAGTCAAATAATTTAGCTTTTAAGTTGCCCGTTTTTCGTGCTTGTGACTGTATATGACATAAATCAGGATTGAGTATTTAGTTAGTTTCGGTCAATTCCTGTTTCACTGGAAATTACTACAACTTTTGATTATTAAATGGCACTCTCGGTACTTTTTTATTTTATTCGACAGAAAATGACACTGAATAGAATGACATATCATATTTCAACTTTTGATAACTTCGCTTAAGAAAATAGTATTTTAAATTTCAATCTAGAATGCTATGGTTGTGATAAAACCACTAATTTTTAATCAAGGAGCCTTGGAAAATATATTTCATCGTCTTTGTCCAAACCAAATCGTATTTTTAACCATAACTCAGTTTTTTCAAATGGAACGAGGGTGGCTCGATTAGTATAATTGGAAGAAGCATTTTTTTACGAATAGTATGGTACCATTACAGAAAATTTTTGTTATGAACACAGCCATGATACTCTAGATTGAAATTTAAAATCTTCTTCTTAAAGTGCCTATCCTCTTTGGATGTTGGCTATCACATTGATCCATATTACTTTGTTCACTGCCGTTCTGAACAAAGCTGTTGACGTCAATCCGGTCCATGTTCGTAGATTTCGCAGCCACGATATTCGTCTGCGTCCCGCTGATCTTCTGCTTTCTATTTTCCCCTGCAGTATGAGTTGGAGTAGGCGGTATTTCTCGTTCCGCATGATGTGTCCGAAGTATTCTAGTTTTCTTCGTTTGACATTTACCAGAAACTCCAACTCCTTGTTGATGCGATGTAGTACAGTCTCATTTGACACGCGATGCGCCCACGAAATCCTAAGCATGCGCCGATAGCACCATATCTCAAATGCCTCCACACGCTTGCATGATTCGTCGGTTCTGATTCTAGTGCGGACGTTGAGGGACAGGTTGCATAGTATATTTCGCATTTTGTTAAATGTCCCTCTCGCGATTTCGATTCGGTGTTTTATTTCGCGAGAGTGGTCCAAGTCTTTAGTCAGGGTGCAGCCCAGGTATGCAACTGTCTCGGCCGCTGGGAGAACGATGTTGTTATAGCAGTGAACTGAAAGTTGTTGATGTAGTTCTTGCTAATGATCAACGTTTGAGTCTTCTTGCAGTTCATCTGTATTCCGTATCTGCTGCATGTATTCGCCACACGATCTATAAGCCTTTGGAGACCTTCAGCGGTATCGGCCAACAGAACGGTATCATCTGCGTATCTCAAATTGTTTACTATTTCTCCGTTTATTACCAGCCCATCCTCTGTGCCATCCAGTGCCTCTCTAAATAGATGTTCCGAGTACACATTGAATAGCAGAGGCGACAATATACAGCCCTGTCGCACTCCCCTTACACTAAACTTTTCTGAAGTTTCGTTCTCGATTCGAACCACGGCCTTTTGTTGATGATAAAGTTTTGCTATTATCTCTGTATCTCTATCGTCTATTCCTGATTCCTGTAAAATCGAGATGAGTTTGTCATGCTGGACTCTATCAAAGGCCTTTTCGAGTCTATGAAGCACGCAAAGACATCTACATTGACGTCGCGTGCTCGTTGGATTAGGACTTGTATTGAAAACAGAGCCTCCCTGGTGCCTCCCTGGAGCCTCCCTGGTGCCTCCCTCCATTCACTTTCTGAAGCCGAACTGAGTTTCACCTATGTTTTCATCGAGCTTTCTATATATGCGTGTTTGGATGATATTAAGGAGGATTTTTAGGACGTGGCTCATCAGACTGATTATCCTGTGATCAGAGCATTTGGTCGCGTTTGCCTTCTTGGGAAGCGGTATAAATGTGATAGCAGCCAGTCGTTTGGGATTGGACCACCTGTATAAATATTGTTGAATAGGGTGGTCAGTAGTTGAACTTGTTCCGAGTCCAGCAGTTTAAGAACTTCTCCGTGTATCTGATCCGGTCCGGAAGTCTTGTTGTTTTTCAGACGTTTGATAGCTGCTTCCACTTCTTCCTGTGTAATGGTGGGCCCTATATTGCCAGTTCCTGCAGTTATGTCGTCGCTATTTTCGTTTCCGAAGAGCTCCTCCATGTACTGCCTCCATCTTTAGAGTTTTTTTATCTGTTTCTGTAATGAAGCCATTGTCCGCGTCTAGGATTACTCCTCCACCCCACCCTCGATATCCTCCGGTTGCTGCCTTTATTTTCTTATGTAGGTTGAAGCTGTCATGTTTTGCTTGTAACATTTCGATCTCTATACATCTTTCCTGAAGCCATCGTTCCTTAGCCTCCTTGATTGCTTTCAAGACTTGGCTATGCGTTTCCTTGTATTTTTGGTTATCTTTGTTTCGGTGTTGCCTTCTTTCCTCCATAAGTCTCAGGATATTATCAGTCATCCATTCTTTTCTTTTCACTGTCTTATCGGGCCTCAGTTCCCTCTCCGTTATGGAAGTTATGGATCTTCTTATTTTGTTCCACAGCTGTTCTACTTCTATTTCAGGATTGCTCTCCTCGGAAATAATTCTCAGTTCGTTATTTATTGTATCCTTAGTTCGTTGTAGTATAATTTCTTGTTGGAGTTTTCGTACGTCAAGTCGCTTCGAGGGCCTTTTTTTGACTATTTTCTTTAATCGGAGTCTGATTCGAGCCAGTAGCAAGTTATGGTCTGTTGGTATGTCTGCGCCTGGATAGGTTTTACAGGACGTGACGGAGTTGCGGTATTTTCTGTTTATCATCACAAAATCAATTTGATTTCTCACGATTCTATGGTTACAGTCAGCCAGAGATTTCCAAGTGTATAGTCTTCTGGGGGGTAGTTTGAAGAAGGTATTCATAATTGTAAAATCTGTTTGTTGGCAAAATTCTATTATGCGTTCTCCCCTCTCATTTCTCACTCCCAATCCGTAATGTCCCACTACGTTCTCGACTATTCCTTGTCCAATCTTGGCATTCATGTCACCCAAAATTATGTTGATTTCTTTGTTGTGTTTTTGAGGGCAATTCCCAGTTCTTCGTAGAATTCTTCTATTTCTTGTTCACTGCTTTCTGCCGTCGGTGCATATACCTGTATGACATTTAGGTCGAATGGTTTCGCTCTGATTTTGATTAGAGCAACTCTACTCGAAACCGAAATGAATCCCTTTACTGCTTTATTGGTTTGTTTGCTGAGGATTATTGCTACCCCATTTCTGTTTCTGGGAGTAGTATCTCCAGAAAAATATATGTGGTGTTCATCTATAACGCAGTTTCCCGAGTTTGGCCATCTTGTCTCACTACATCCTAGAACGTCAATTTGGAGCCGTTTCATTTCCTTCACTATATTTGCCGCTTTCCCGGCTTGGTACATGCTTTGCACGTTCCACGTGCCAATTCTTTCTCTTTGTTTATCTTGAAGATATCGTTAATGGACCGGGGGATTCTTAGCACCCTCTCCCCATCTAAGGGGTGCCCGGGACTGAGGGCCATAGTTTCGTTTTCTTTTTCCATTGTGATATCTTGGGGAATATGAGTAAGTCAGGTAGTTTCCCGTTGCTTTCCCGAGTGTATAGAATTCAGCCGCACCTAACATGGAGAACAGACGCTGTTCGCCATATCTGGCTATCCTCATTTAGTTTCGTTCGCAGGTGGATGCAGTTACCAGGGTGTGGCACGTGGAGCCATGAATGAGAATTGGGTGCCCTGCGAGGACCAGTCATCGCCGGCCACACACCGAAAATATCGTTGCGTGCCACTGCCCTTGATGAAAGGTACTACCTCTACAGCGCAACCCCTACACCCCTAAATTTAAAATACTATTTTTTAAAGGAAAATGTGAAAAAGTTGACATGTGAGATGTCATTCTATCAGAGTATCATTATCTATCGAATAAAGTAAAAAAATATCGAGGGTACCACAGAGGTGAAACAGGTAGTGACAGAAAATAATTGAATACGCCAATCAATCCTGATTTATTTTAAATAGTAATATACCATATCTCGGTATTTTATCTGAAAAAATGGAGATGGAGATAGAGAGTCGGTTAAATGGGGAAAGAATTGCAGTTTTGTGGGGTCATAAATATGCGTCTTTCAGATTTTTGAAAAAGTTCATGATTTACTAGATATTAAAAAAAAAATTTGGCTATTTTAAAAATTGTCCCTAATTCCATTATAATCTATTTTAGACAAAAAGTTTTCAGATAAAAGTTGTAGAAAATCACATACCTAATGAGTTTGTGTTCTTCGATTTTTTCTAAAGCCTGTCATTTTTGACATATGACGCAAACATATATTTGGAAACCGATAAGAGTTGGCTATAACTCAGTATTTTTTTTAAAAACTAAGTTTTTGAAAAAAACATATTACAGCTTATATCGCTGAAGAGCTTAAAAAATGGCGCTTTTTATGAAGTCATGGCTAACTATGATTTCCATTTAAAAAAACATATGTTTGTGTCATTTGTCAAAAATGACAGGCTTGAAAAAAAATCGGAGAACACAAACTTATTAGGTATGTGATTATGTAGAACTTTTATCTGAAAACTTTTTGTCTAAAATAGATTATAATGGAATTAGAGACAATTTTTAAAATAGCCCAAAATTTTTTTTTCGACATATCTAGTAAGCCATGTACTTTTTCAAAGATCTGAAAGGTGCATATTTATGACCCCACAAAACTGCAATTCTTTCCCCACTTAACTGACTCTCTATCTCCAGTAGTTTCCGAGATACCCATAGAGAACATCGTAGGAAACTCACCCTGTATATTTGTATGAGTCTGTGACGTTTTTTACTCAATCATACTGTATCATGCCATATTATTATTAGTATTAAAATAGCTTTTTTGTAATTAAATTGACCTCGTATATAAACTAATTTATATTTACATTATTTTCTGAGAATTAAACTTCAAAAAGAAACTCGCAAGTAAATTACACGAAAAAAGTCGGAATTCTTTATTACATCGCACGCAAATTAAACATGAAAAAATTTCACTTTCTGTAGGCCCGAAAAAAATGGAAACAAACAAAGGAAATTGGTCTCCGGCATGATGAGAACTTTGCGTGTTCCACAAAGCGATATAGCTTTGAAAAAAAAAGTCGACAGCTAGACATAAAAGAGATATTTTTTGAAAGATCTTCTCACCCGAGTCGTTCTTTTCATACTTTTAAGCTTCTATATCTGGATATGGAGTCGGCGGAATCATTTGTTACTTATCCCGGATTTGATATTCCAATAGATCTTTTCACTGCAGCTGCTAGGACTATTTTTCTATCTTTTAGTCGTTATATATGGATCGTTAATGGAGAAACCCCAACAAACATTTGAAGTTAAAATTACGTTAAACTAACCACCTAGACTATTATTAACCAACTGGAAATTGGTCGAAATTTCCAAGAATTGACGTTAAAATTCCCAAAGTGGGGAATAAAACTAAAGTAATTTGGAAGTTAAAAACAGGTTAACAGGTTATGATGTCTTGTAAGAAATATGGGCTATGAAGTCAAAAATAACCGACCTGAGGTCATAACATGGTAAAATAGAGGTGAATTTTACTAAAAATAGTCTAATCTAATTTATACTACCTACATTTTACATGGGAAAGAAAGAGAAAGAATAAGGTAAAGTTTTGTTCTTGTTAAAATGTGTATGTAAATGAATTTCCCAATAATGAACCAGGAAGACAAAAAAGTGTAATAACTGGCATGGCCGTTTGAACATTAATCCAATATGGATGAAATACCTACATAATATATGCACTTCCTAGTAAATGCAAATAAGTTATTGGTAAGAAGTGGATTACTGGATTCCCAGGATAATTATGTCTGCGGAGAAAATTTTTCTGTGAGATGTAAATATGATAGGCCCTAAAAATTATGCGCCATTAAAATTTTATGTATTTTCAACAATTAATTTTAGAATAAATCGTTATTTTCAAGGTTCCAACATAACTTTTTTTCAGCTAACTTCCTTGGTACACTTTTAAAGTTCTTAATTAGTTAATTTAACTTTTGGTAGGTTAGTATTATTCATAAACGTCTGTTTATTTTTCTCAATAGTTTAGAACAATGTCACAAAAAAATATTTTTTGAATCAAATTGGCTAAGAAAATGGCCGCTAATGGTGTTTTTACCTATTCGTCTATGAAGTTAGGTTTTCCATAATTTTAAATCCTTAAATACCGCTTTCTTTGTACGAGGTTAAGATTTCTTTAAATTAATAACCTCAAAGGTCAAAATTTCTTGCTTAAGTATTTTCCTTCGAGGTACAAGTTAAAAATGGACTATATTAGGTCGAGTAACGCCGGTTAAACAGAAATCTTTTATTTTCTTTGAGTGACAGTGACAGTTGACAATGATATTTTATGCTAAGTTCGGTAATTACATATTACATCTTCAAGCAATCCGATTAACGTTTCACAGTAATCACAGAGAAGAACAATGTAATCATGTGTCCTAAAATGAGAATCTTTATTGAGAGTCACGTGACATGTCAAATTTTTATCCTTTTGCTGGCCGATGCAATTACCGAATTGGCCTAAACTAGAAAACTAAATTAGTTTTTTTTGCTTATTATTTTTAAAAGTTTTGTGTTTTGGGACTGTGAGTGTTATTACAGAGGACTTTTTGTTTTTATTGCACATAATGGACACGTTTAAGATTGTGGCGGTAATAAAAAATAAACGCATTGAATATTCTTTCGTTCCCAATAGTAGTGGGAACTATCGAATGAATACTATCGAAACATTCGATAGTTGCAATTCATTCGAATAATTCGATAGCTAGTAAGAAAACATTCGTCGAACACTATTCGAAAAAAATATCGAATAGATGCGTCATCTGCCTTGAAATATATTAATTCGGCAGCAAAAACCATTCATTTATAAAATTCATTCATTTGTAAAATTCATTTATTCGTCAGGATCATTATAGTAAAATATAAACTGGATTTTAGTTGTCGCCCGGCGACGTAGGTTTCTTTTCTAAGAAACCCGACAGCGCAGCGGTCGGCGGTCGGTGGCAATGGTATGAAAAAAGCCAGCATCTTTGATTTTGAGTCAGATAAAGATAAGGACACATTATTTTTTTTATTGAGGGGCTAGTATTTACACAAAAATACATTATGAACGGCGCTGTTGCCGTATATTCGTATTAGTTGGTATTAGCAAAGAATATTATTCTTTGATATTATAGTTAGTTAGGGATAGTATGACTATATATTTTGCATTTTTTTTATTAATATTCTGTTGTTACACTTCAATGATACTTTTTATTTTGGATGTAGGAAAATGATTTTTAATGTTTTTAAGCAAAACTGGTTTAATAAATAATAATAACAGTAATAATTTGTTATACCTATTAACACCAAAATTTAAAATCATTTAATATAAACATTTTTTTAAGTAGTAGCAAAATATAAACAACAAATAAGAAATCAAAATTATTTATATTAAATCCTATTTAAAAATAATATAGTCTCTAAATTTTTTGTGGCAACGTTGGTTTATTAAATAATAATAATTACAGAACTAATTTGTTATATTAACAACAAATTTTAAAATCATGAAATATAAACATATTTATTAATTTTCTGTGTAATAGAAGAAAAATATAAATAAAAAATTAGAAATCAAAATTATATATGTGTATTACATTTTATTACTTTGTATTAGTATTTAAAAATAGTATTTGCTTTTACTGGCGTTTACTTTAAAAAATAAATGAAATATTTCTTCGCAAAAATCTACATGTAAGAGAATTAGCATAAACAAAATACAAATATCGTTAACTTTTTTTTAAATTGGCACGTGTAAAACTTTAATCAATCAATTTAATTTTCTCACCCCAAAATTTGACTTCGATAACCATTTACTTTTTTTTTACTTCGATATAACCACATTACCACATTACTTAAATATGATTATTAAGTTCAACTAATTCATATTACTAAAACATCTAAAATACAAATACATGTGTA